CGTTTTTATTCGTTGGATTAGTACCATCCTTTGAATTTTATCATCACTAATACGAAAGAAAAGATCATAAATCTTCCTCGCCCTGTCTGATTTCTTTCGTACAGCACCTTTTGTGACCTCTTTGGGAAGCTTATCTTTAACCTCATCATAGAGCTTCTTTAATGCTTCATGCTCCGCGTTAGTTTTCCTATAGTCGGCAAGACTAGTAATAATATGCGAAGATCACTTCATTACGCGCCTTTTCACTCCTCTCCTCAGCATTGGAGATTTTTAAATATAGGTCAAAAAGAGTTCGATCACCCTCAACTTCTTGTACAGATTCTCTATGAAGACCTCTCCTTTCCTTAATTTCAGAAATTCGAGTAGTATCGGAAGACAACTCCCGGATAAGCCTTTTTAAAATATTAGAGTCTTCCTCTTGAACATGTTTCTTAGATTTCTTGCTAGATGAGGAGAAAAATGCCAAGAAAAATTTTATTAATACATGCGAAAAATAAATACAAATGTTCGGGACTTTGCCCGTGATACATGACATCTAAGCTAGTGTCTATACAATTATTTTTTCTTGATTATCTCTTCTACACGGCGCTTCTTATTTGCAGGTTCTTCACTAGCTGTTACCCTATCCTTTAATAAGCCCACTATAACCTCTAAAATCCTCTTCACATTCTTACGTAAATCGGTTGGATTTTTGATGGCGTCTTCCGTTAGTGAGATTCAATACTCGGTACTATGTAGGATGAAATACCAGTCATGGTTAAGAAATTGTGAACAATTTAGTGATGCATAAAGCGAAAAAACAGTCTTGTTAGAGTCGTTTTCTTGTTGAAAAATGCACAGTAGGATATCGGAAACGTGTGTCCGTTAAACGATCATTGCTAAAAGATTTCCTGAACTGGATTTATAAATCTTATGTATCATGTGAAAATTTGGTCATACGATCAACATCAGAATTAAAAAACGCGTTAACGCGTAAAAATAAAAAAACGTATTTTCTCTTCTTACTTTTAAATGAAAAAACTCTTCCACATACTGCGATCACCAAATTATTTTCAAGAAAGTGCAACTTGGAGCTTGCTTAGTTACTTAAAGTACAGAGAACGTACAAAGGATTTTACAGGAGATAGATCATCAGAACACCAGTCTTATATTAAAAACCTTGAATACCTTCAGGAAGATCCCAAAGAGTATCAACAAGCCGAACAAGCCGGACGGTGTCTTCTTAATTTTCAGGTAAACAAACTAAGCAAATTATCATGTTGAGTTGACACAGAGCTGGTCATGTTGACATTTAAATAGTCAAATGAGTACGCCTTGTTTGATGAGTGTGGGGTACGTCCTCCTTTAAGTGTCAAGGTACGCCCTGGCTTCTATTGATGCGATTGAACGGGTACGTCCTGTTTGGTTGTGAAGGGTACGTCCCATGCCAAGTTTCTTTCCAGCTCTTGTGATGTGATGGCGCTATTTTTATGTATTAAGAAGTTAACAAAAAAAAACTAATTATTTCCTATAATTTTGTATAAGCTCGAAAAAATGAGTGAGGATGTGAATACTTTCTGGTTGTCGGTTGACATGAAGAAACAGATTGATGTAAAAAAGGTGAGTAAAGTACATTCTTCTATGTCTTTATGTTTCGGAATACTAACTTAGAATATGAAATAGCTAGAATGTGCAGGAAATGCATTGGATGCGATAGCAAATGAAACACGGTTACGGTCCGTCGTGACAGGTGAAGTAATATCAATTGTAGGAAGTTCACAGGTACATAACAATGAGGGCGAAGCTAGTAGAAATGTTTCGGAGGTTCGTAATAATTTTTCTTCGCTAGCATTTAGCATTTTATAGCCAAAGTTATACGCATCATTCATCCAACAATATTGTATACCACAATACAATAGAAGAATAAAGACACTTTCGCCAACAAAAGGAAATTAGAGGACGACCAATCAGATTATTGTGAAGGACTCAAACATTTGTTTGATGAGTCCAATGAAGATGCCATTATAGAAAATATTGACGAAAAAACTCTTGAAGACGAGGATAAATTGCCACCTGCAAGTGGTAACAAGGTAAAATTTAATATCATAATTGGCCACCAGTACATGATCAGTAGAGTCATTATCTTTTCCTCGATAGGATCCACCAAAAATTCGTGCAGATGTGTTGGATGCTTTCCGAACATATCAAAAAAAAATTCCCAAAATTCGTAAAGTATTCACGTAAGTTTTGTGTCTTTTTGGAGCAACAATCATTGCCGGATTATCAATGAGTTTTGTTTTACCTCTCCATAGCCCCGCATATTGGGGCGTACTAGATCTAACTAAGGAAAGTTTATTTGGGTGTAAAGAAATTACCGAAAATGACATACATAAATTATCGCAGGATTTTGCCGACCATATAAAGTGGAAATGCGAGCCTGCCCCAAGAGATTTTCAGAAATATTTTGATGGAAATTGCGATTATGTTGAAAGCAATCATAAAGATCAAGATCTTAAAAAATTTGATACATATGTTCAATTTATGTAAATATCAAGTTATGACTTGTGATTATCTGGCATTATATTCTGACCCTCTGTATTACTGCACAGGAAAGTTAACATGCATTCGTTCCAAGGTATGCTCACCGAAGAACAGTTAAAAATGACTACTTCGTTTCCGCTGATTCATGGAACGTTTACGTCGAATAATATTAAAGATGTCTGGTAGGTTATTTGTGTTAGTTTGCATTTAGTAAAATACTGAATGTGGAACTGACATTCTTCTGCATGTAGGGGGGAGGTTCAAGCTCTTTCAACTAGTGACGCGCGTAATGAAAATGTTGACCCATTCAAAAAAGCCCGGATGGGTAGGAAAGTTGACATGAAAGCAACCTTAACTAAAACATTAAACAAATTCGAAGTCATTTATGGTGAAGTTGCAGGGGGATTGGGGTCATTCGGAATTCCTTCTGCGTGTCGTAAGAAGCGATTTTTGGACAAAGTTAAATTGATGATAATTATGCGTGATGGAATAAATCGGCTATTAAAAGAGTGTAAGCACGTTACAGATGAAAGCCGAAGGAACATAATAATCTATGGCTGGTTACAAGTGGGTAAGTTCAACATGAGAAAGTTTCAGAAAATTCCTTGCTAATAGATTTTATTTTAGGATTAGAATTAAATTTTTACGCGATGGACTGGCAAGGGAACGGTATCTACAGATTTGGGTTGATAGACCGGTGTAGAATACCGGTTGATGAAGATGATTGTGGCAATTTGGAAGACGCATATTGCGTCCTTAAATCGCTAGAGGTAATTTTCTATTTGTTTTTTTTTCTATGGTGATTTATAATAACTTATGGATCAAATGTATAGAGTAAGTCCCTTGAGACTGAAAAGGTCGTGAAAAAACTTTTTTCAGAAAATACTAAGGGGAAACGACGTCGAATTGCACCCGAAACTGAACACAAATCGCACTCCACAGAAATAAACATTTATAGTTTTATTAAATGGAATGTGCATTAAAAATCTTAGCTTAAAAAAATTGTTACATAATTTCATTTATATTGTTTTTAAAATTCTTTGTTTGAATAAAGCTTTTCGCAATTTTATTTCAATGTGCATTTAAAATCCAAGTCCCTCTATATCTGGAACTTTTTTGGGATGATATTTTTATCCGTAGAAAATCGAATGGGTAGCAAATAAACTTGTACACAGTTAAAGAAAGATATAACTAATGATTTAAAAAAAAATTATTGCATCACAGAAATACAGAACACATGATGGAAACAAAATGTTTGGGTCAATTTTCACAATAGTTATTATACATATTCATATTGCTTTATCTGCTTTTTCATGTATTCCATTCTTGAACCAAACTTCTGGTATAGTCGTTATCTTGTACTTAGTGCTATCGTATCCATCATAGAAAGGTAGACAACTCGAAGGAATTGTGATTCTTCAGCAGGTGGCGATTTTATTGCATCGCTCAAGCACATTAACAATTCTTGTTTTCTCTCTCTATCATTACTATCCTTTGTAATTCCGTTAAACATGTAACTATCAGGATTATAACGAATAAAGAGAGTAGGGATACCAAGTGCTTGCACAATGTCCCACATCCTTTTTACCTCACAGTTATATTCCCCTTTCTTGTGTTGATACTCATCTACTTCCAGTACAACTTTATGTGTGTCTGCATCAATGACAAAGTCAGGACGCTTTTTTGAACACACTCCATCTCCCACAATAGAATCGTATGCTTCATATAGAATATTGTTTTCGTCTAAAATATATTTCACTCGAAGTTGCTTTGACAAACGTACTCTTGTTTTTGCTTCAGCATAAGTGCTACATTCAGCGCACTTCTGATCTTGCAAAAGGATATCAAGCAATCCACAATTAGAACATATTTTTTGGACTAAATCAACCATATTATCTGTGAAGTGTTTTTCGCACCTAGTTGGGTTAGAAAGTCCGTGAGTAGCAAGCTTTTTACAGTCTGAGATCATGCATAAACGTGAAGAATGTGATATCATACCTTTGTCTTTATGTATGAAGCAACGTGACATTTTATAACCAGGTATTCCGTATAGTGCTCTTTTTTGGCAATTAACATTATTACACTTTGGGCCAATAACGTTAACCATTCCAGGATTTCGGTGGGCTTCACAAAAACGTGCCCTTTTTTCTCCCAAAATATTAAAAGTCGGTATGGTCATACAACAAGCTTTTTCACACCGCCGATTTACTACGTTAACCATGCCAGCTGTTTTGTGTCTAGCGCAATATTGGCCTTGTGTTTTTCCTGGGACATTAAAATAAGGACGAGTATAACAATCTGAGTGTGCGCATTTTCTGCTTGCAACGTTAATCATGTCATCCTGCTTATGTTGACCACAGAAAGTTCTTAATGATCCCTCTACAGCGAAGAGCGCCTTTTTGACAACCTGGATACTTACAAAGTTTAGTTTGGATATCAATCATTTCTGGTTTTTTGTGTTTAGTGCAGAATTTGCCCTTATCTGAGCCAATAACATTAAAAACTGCACGTGTAGTACATCCAGGTTCTAAGCATTTTCTGGCCCTTAAGTGAATCATTTCTTCTTTCATATGAGTGACGCATGAAGTTGCTTTTGAATCGGGAAAACCAAAATGAGGAAACTTGTAACAGCCATTTTCTTGACACTATGTCTTTACATTAACATAACCAACTGGCTTATGCGTAGCATAATAGCGTGGAGTTTTTGAATCTTTTGGGCCAAACGAAGCTTCTTTTGACAATAAAGTTGTTGACAGCGTTGTGGCATTTTACGTTGACCTAGAAGTGTCTAATTATAGAATATACTGTAAAGTTAAAACATGGCCGGAACTTTCTTCACCAGATACATTAATCTGAGGCAAGATTACCAATCCTCTGAGGAGGCTGACAGCAGTATGAAGGATTGTTGAAATATATTCACAGCGCATAGCCTCGTTACTATCTACAACTGGCCCCATATTTTTGATCCTACGAAGAATGTCATTAATGCAGAGCTTAAACTCTGGAGATTTTTCATCGATTGGGTGGGGACTATAAATGGAGAATGTGTAAGTCAATGGAAATTTATAACGAAAAAAAGTTGGCATAATTTACCTGGTATGAATTGAGGGATGCTCGTTATGCTATTACTTTTAATGCCGTATTTTTTTAACACTTCCTCCAAACTACGGTATGAGGAGAATGCACGCTTCGGCTTTTCTTTGAAGGTCTTGATCTCTTTTGCAAGTAATATTGCTAGTCCCATTTCCAAACCAGCTTGCATAAAATCTTCCTTTGTCAACTCAAGAAAGGAGAGACCATTAAATTTTTTCTTACGAAGTATTCCTAAGTCATCGTCGTCGAGCTTGAGGTTTTGCTCTTTCAAAAAATCGATAAGGGTTTCTGTATCCCAGTTTTCAACCAAGTAAGAGTCGTGTTCATAGAGTTGGTAAAGTCCTAAAAAGTCCTAATTAGTCAATAAATTTAAAAATAATTTTTATATACTGTATCTCCATTGTAATGATTAAGGATAAAATATTATATTTTAATTAAAAAAAAATCTCTAAGCTTATGATCACTATTCTGGACTATTGGTTGGACTGAGTCATGCTCGGATTTGACTATTAGCTAAATATGGGATCACAAAATTATCATCTAATATTAGCGTCGAATTACGCATATTCAAGCTTACACCATTTTCTCGCATCCATAGTGAACCCAAGAGTATTTCAGGAAATTGATCAGACCAATCCGATCCAGTAACTATGAATTCAGTGGGTATGCTTTTATGCTTCTTACCATCATTTAAGATAATACGTAGATTGACCTTTCCTAATGTGGAATAAGACTTACCTAGAAACCCGTTTACTCTAGAAATACTATTGTCTTTTGTCTTTTGCGTATGCTATTTTCATGCGAAGCACCTTAAGGGCCAATTTTTTCACTAATCAAATTTACATTAGCGCTTATGTCAATACTATATCGAAAATCTGAGAGAATTATTTTGGTCCATTCAAGATCCACCTCTCTTTTCCATATATCATATATACTGCTAATATGTTTTAGATCTTAGCCTGAAAGATACGTTAGAATAAATGGTATTAATTCTGGTGGAAGAAGCTCAAGAAGATTTAACATATGCATTTTTATATAATTAGAATATCTTTCAATCGAAATATAGTTCATTACTTCAAACCACAAACTGCTTAACCTTTCTTTGTCGTACTTTTCTTTGGTGTCCGCCTTCTCATAAATTCGAAGCCAGAAAATCCTTAGGGACCTAGCGTAATTGAGCGACAAGACGCTCAGGGATCTTTGGCGAGAAAGCTATTTCTTGTATTAAGTCGACCACAGTTTCTCTATCCACACATTCGTCTAGATCTTTTAATTCGTCTTTAAAGGATCTCACATCTTTCTCCAATCTTTTTACCCTCCTTTCTAAAGTGTTAGGTTGAGAATGATAATCTTCCAATTGTTTTTTTAGTACCATATTTTCACCGAAAAGCGCACTATACACTTTTGCATTTTGCTCGTTTAGCCTAAATATCTGGGCTAATTTTTCTGTGTATCTGATAACTCCCTGTTCACTAGGTGTACTATCAGATGAATGTTTTTGTTCGGTTACCATTTTCGTGATATATTATATATGCTATATCTTGCCTTAAGCAAAAAAATAAATTAATAAATAATATCAAACCCATATATATGATTAGTTTTTATCAAAGAGCTTGAATGCCTTTGCCTGATTATAAGGCTGTCCTCTTTTTCGAAAATTAACTATAGTATAGTTTTGTGCTGGGGAAGTATGGTTGTCAGGACTGTGATGAAGGGCTTGGCTGGCAATAGTCATAGCCTTTGATAAATTCTTTGCACCATGTGAAATGACCGCAAATACTGCTCCTAATTTGCGCAAATAGCTAGGAAGGAGTGGTTTACCAGTTTCAGGAAGAAATCTATCTTTTTTCAGAAATGTATTAAACCATTTAACTCCTCGTACTCCTGGATCCCTCAACTGTCTGGAAGATATTGTTTCCTGAATCCATGTAAGAAGAAGTTTAGCCCGCATTTCATCTCTTTCTAATGATCTAAATACCCGAGGAATATCCTGCTGATCTCGGTTTTTTGAATATCCAGTTACACTTCCATTAGAAATGCGCAAGTCTTTAATTTCAGCAGGACGGATGCAGAGCATTATCATTACATCAGCGAGGGCTTGTAAATTAGGAACATTGGATACATCATACCCATCCAATCTTTCCTTAACTGATTCTAGTGAGAAGTGGTCAGGAAAATCGATCCCTTCATTTTCACGTTGCTCTCTACGCTCCTTTTGGATTTTATTAGATGAACAGGTTATCTCTCGAATCAATGTAGCTGAGATAATTTTTTCAGAGGCTTCAAGGTTTCGCAACTCACTTCGAAGCCTAGAGATTCGTGATGAACCAGCGCTAGCATTAGAGGCAGATTCAGCTAAGGCTTTAGCTATAGATACTACATCATTTTCGCTAAGATTATCCTGGGTAATTCGCTGAGCTATCATTTCGACAGTTTCTCCGTCTGGGATGATGTCAGATACTTGGCATATATTAACTTCTCCTGCTTCGCCTCCTCCTTCTTTGGGAGTTACTTTACTTCTACTTCGACTAATTCTCTGATCAGAAACTAATATAAATGCCTGCTCTTTGCTAAAATTATACCCTTTTTGAAAGCACTGTTGACCCTTGTCTCTTTTTACTTTATCTGTTAAAAGCTCGAGTAATGCTGGAACGTGCTGGTTAAGTTCATCATTGCTCATCTCTTTATTAAGTTTATGCTCTGTAACGTACTTTGTCACAATCGCGGACATAATAATGTGGATATGAAGTAACTATTAGATTATGTATAACTGTTAGGTTATACTACACATAAAAAAGTTCAATTCAAAAAATATTTCCAAGCGAACAAGAAAAAATAATAATTCAGAATTTTATATCGCCTAGTTGTAAAGAACAAATAGATCATCTTACCCAAATACCTTACCTATAAATCAGCTTCTTACTTGCTCTTTACCAAAGCATACCATTCTCCTGGAGTATGCTTATTGTTTTTTGCCATTTCTCATCGGTATCAAGCCACGTGGTTATGACTCCTTCATCCTTAAGATCATGATGGATTATTTCTTCTCCTATTAGTCTTTCCCGTACTTTCATGTCCATATATTCTTTGGGATCATCTTCTACCTCTTTTGCATAACCACACATTCGAGAGTCAGTTTCCATTTTATCACGGAATGCAATAAAATCGAGCCTGTCCTTTTCGGTGATGGTCACGAAGACATTTGGATCCTCACCAAGTTTGACTGCCCTTTTTCTAAGACGCTCTTCGTGCTGAGCCCTGGATAGGAGAATGGCAGATGATACTTGATTGATAGGCTTGGATAATTCGCGCTTAACACTTGTTTCTTTAGAAGGCGTATTCACCACTTCAATGCTAGACTCGTTAGATTCGGAAAGCTTGCTAGTTTCAGGTTCATCGATTACTGGCTCAGGTGTTTTAGAGATCTTGTATGTGCCAGATGTTGAGGCGACTGAAACACGTGTATCTTCTGCCACATAGTTGAAAAGAGTCTGGGTCAATTCATCCTGTTTATCCACCTTCTTATCTTTACTAGTTCTAGGTGGAGGTGTACTCTTTTCTGGAATATGCGGGATTATTTTTGGGAGTATAATTTCTGGTATATTGAATATAGGTATGTCTGCTATCTCATTTTCAGGTAAGTCAGATTGAGATGTATCTTCAGAAAATTCTTCGATATCGCCTAGGCCAGATTCACAGAGCTTGGCTATAATTTTAGAGCGATCGAGAATATATACCCATTCCCTTTTTCCACCACCCGCTCGTACCTGTTTACTCTCAATTCCGATTTGAGAAAACTTCTTTCTGGCAACTTTATTAGCGAATGGTTTTCACCATTCTCTTCACACCAATCGAGATAATTTCGATATAGTGCTATACGACTTCTCCTGTCTACATTATCAACAGGCTAAGATGCAATATGATCAATCATAAATTGAATAGGATTGGGGAGCTGGTCTCGCATCATCTCTGTTTTCATTTTAGTTACTGGTAAATCACGCGGATGCTAGTCTTTCGGAATATCAAAATTAAGTAAATATGCCATAAATGATCCTGAAGTATCTGGATGGTTGAGAATTTCACCCAGACTTTTGAAATATTAAAATTACCTTTACACTGGGAGGAAATGTCTAAACATACACTACGACCATCTCCCAATTCCATCTGAATTGGAGCATCATGATTACTTAAAATCATGAATCCAGGATAATGGCCACACTCTTGAAATTCTAATCCCTTACGCTCAATCGAGACGTAATCTTCTGTAATAAGGGACTTTAGATGATCGTTCCCCTTATGCCATTCACCACTAGCCATTCCCGTTTCATTCATAATAATAAGTTTGTGCCCTTGAATGGGGCTATTGAATTTTCCGAGAATTTTTCCAAGGTCAGAAGTTGAATATACAAGCTCTGGACCAAATAAGCTTTTTCGAATAAAATCGGTTATAATATTTTTTCCACATCGGGGTGGAGAG